AGAGAGAGAGAGAGAGAGAGAGAGAGAGATAATATATTGGCTCGAACGGCTTGGATCGATGGATGGAGAAAAGGAGAATTCGTACATGGAATGAGAAGGAGAAGGAGGATGAAAAGAGCCTGCCTGCCTGCCTGCCTCCGCGGCAGTCACAATCCGACTTACAAATCTCCTTAGCCTCCGCGTGGCGGTGTTGGGGTGTGAGAGAAGAGAGGTAGAGGGTAGTATGAAACTCCACAGTGAACTTTTTGGTTCGTCGTTTTGTCGATGTTGATGTTGATGTTGATGTTGATAAGGAGGAAGAGGAAGAATAAGAAAAAGGGGTACGACTCGGCTTTCTATGCCTCACCAGCACCGGCGATGAAAGCGCACTGCGCATCCCGCCATACCATAGCTGAACTCGCCTTTGCCTCCGAGACAGATGTTGACATATTCCGGTATTATCGTAAGTGGCTGGTCAAAGGTAAACACGAGTCGAGGAAGGGGGTTTGCCGGGGAACCAGGTCCAAGCGTCGATCGTGATCAAGCATTGGCCAAGGCATTGGCAAAGCTTGATTCCCCAGACCCCATATTTGCCTACAATCACTGCTGCCCTGCACGAGGTGTAATCAACGTGGACGTTGCGGTGCCTGATTCAATTCCATGGACATTTATGACCGAACTATCTCAAAATACGTAGCCCATCGAGAGGACCCTCAAGAGCAGCACTTGCTATCCTAGTCCTAGATCACAGAAAGCAGAGAGCAACACCGCGGAAGAGACGTACGTGGACAGATATGATACAAACGCCGTAGTCTGGTGGCCGTCGTATTTGTGTTTCTCGACTTGTGGAAAATCATCCCCACGTTCCACCACCACCGCCTCGGCCTTGCCGCTTCTGCGACGACAGTCTCCAATCATCCTCCGCCGCAAATTTGTTGTACAGAGGCTGGATCCTCTCAGCCTTCTTTCGCTTACTCAGTTTATCCGTCGGCGCAACTTTGAAGAACGATGGCGCCGCCTCAACGAGCCATTTGGGTTCGATGGTTGTCGTGCAGTGCATGTACTCCTTGCTCGTCATGATAAGTGTATGGTAGATGACCCATTCGGCCTGCTTTCCAAATAGGGCCGAGCTGGGATGCAGATAGACAGGCGTGCCCTCAATGAGGGTCTTGTAGCCCTCCTGAGGATCTTTCCGGGCCGAGTTGCGGAAGTACCCACTGCAGATGGCTTGTCTCACCTTCTGGGTGTTGCGGCCGCAAGAGACGATGGCGTGCTTGTAGCGTTCCATAATCTTGACGAGTTGGTCCCGGACATCCTTCGCCCGGCGCATAGAGCGCGCCTGGATGAAGTTCTCGAAACACCATGGGTTGGCGAACTTGTTTTGCTTCCACCCATTGAACACATTGAGCAGGGTGAGATGATCACCGTGGGGGTCATGGAATTTGGCCTTCTTCTGGTCAGCCTGTGTCTGCTTCTCCTTCGGTCGGTAGAAGACGGATGGAATCGACAGCATTGCAACGATACTGAGGATTTCATCCGAGCATCCAAGGTCGATCGAGGCGATGAGAACCTTGGCCAGCGACGGCTCCATCGGAAAATCGGCCATTTTTCGACCTAATCGAGTCAACAGTCCTTCGTCGTCCAGAGCAGACAATGCATATAGCTCTTCGAGCGCAGTCAACATGGTATTCGTGGGCGGCGGGTCCATGAAGTCAAAGTGCAAAAGGTCGTTGATTCCCATTGCCTTGAGCATCAAAATAGTATGTGAAAGATTTTGTCGCTGGATTTCAGGAATCGATGTTGGTAGCATTTCAGACTGGAAGGCGGATTCGGTATAGAGGCGGAAACATTTTCCAGGCCCTGTTCTTCCCGCGCGACCAGCACGTTGTTTGGCTTGGGCTTGGGAAATTGGCGTGATTACGAGAGAATCCATTCCGAGCTTTGGGTCGTAGGCATTTTGCTTGACGAAGCCGGGATCGATGACATAGTAAATGTGATCGATGGTGATAGATGTTTCCGCAATGTTCGTCGCAATAACAACCTTTCTACTTCCAGGTGGGGCTGGGTCAAAAATCTTGCTCTGCATCTCGCTGGGTAGAGCAGAGTACACAGGGAGAATGATCAGCTCAGGCACGCTCGGTCCCAGAGCTTTCATACGCTCGAACAAGATCTCGCAACTGGTATCAATCTCTTCCTGGCCAGTCAGGAAGAGAAGTATATCTCCAGGAGGTTCGGTCAGATGAATCTGCATAACTGTGACGAGAGCTGCGTCTAGATAATCGGACTCTGGTTCCCGAGAATACATGACTTCGACAGGAAAGGTACGTCCGGGAATCGAGAAGATGGGACACTCGTTGAAGTATGCCGAGAACTTATCAGCGTCCAAAGTCGCAGAAGTGACGATGACCTTTAAATCGGGCCTCCTCTTCAAGGTCTTTTTGAGCAGCGCAAACAGCACATCCGTGGAGATAGTACGTTCGTGGGCTTCATCTAACATGATGACCGAGTATCTCTTGATATCAGGGTCCATAAGAATCTCTCTCTGTAACATACCATCGGTCATGTACTTGATCTTGGTTGACGGGCTGGTGCAATCCTCGAATCGAATCGTGTATCCGACCTCTTGACCGAGTTCGCAACCAACCTCCTCGGCCACACGTTTCGCAACCGACATTGCAGCAACACGGCGGGGTTGTGTGCATCCGATCAACCCGTTGTTAGCAAAGCCTGCCTCTGCCAAGTACTGTGTCAATTGAGTTGTTTTCCCGGATCCTGTGTCGCCGACTACAATCAGAAGCTGGTTCGCGTGAACAGCTTTGATAAGCTCGGATCGGAACCTGTATACAGGCAGAGACTCCCGTTGTTGTTTTATGGACATGTCTGTCCGTCGTCCAAATGACTGATCTTTGTTTTGTGTAGCCATTTTCCATTCGGGTACAGCCTCGTTTGCTGGGGCGGGCTTGATGCTCCGAAGATCACTCGCGAATTTCTTCGAGTCTGGATTGGCCATGGGATCTTGCCACTGTGCCGACAGATCAACCTTCGACCCTTCTTCAGCTGCCTTGTCCTGAGCTTCTTGTGACCTCAATTCTCTTCTATCTTTCGCCAATGTAGTTCCAGCCATAGCGGCACGATTCATAGAACCATCTGGTGCTTTGACCACTCTGATAGGAGATAGTTCCAGTGACTGTTTGGTCTGACCAGCAAGAAATGGCGGCTCCTCTTCTCGCAACTCGATATCGACGTCCTCTTCTAGCTCCATCTCTCCTTCGCCATTCAATGCAGCATTGTAATCTTCGTCGAGATCTGGGTAATCCGATGCCTTCACGACACCAGATGCGATGAGCTGACGGATTTCCCAGCGCTCTGGAGATGTCATTCGCTTCTTCGTTCTTCGGGAACTGCTCGGCATGTCGCCCTCAAAGACCAGTGCTTTCTCATCTATAAGTCCATACTCGCCCTTTCCCCCGATCTTCTCCATGTTGGCGCCAGATTGTATCCTAGCTTGGGGGGCGAGATCCCTTCCAGTTTCTTGGTCGACATCCTTCATGGAAAGCCCGATTCTTGAGCCCTCTATCTTGATTACCTTGATCTTGACAGGCTGGCCTCTGGAAAGAAGATCGGACGGGTGGTTCACCCGCTGACCTTCGGCCAACGCGGACACATGAACAAGCCCATCAACTCTGCCATTTACTCCGTGGATATTAACAAAAGCCCCAAAGTCTTTGACACCCGTGACGTGACCGTCGTAGACCTTGTATAGTATGGGTGCGTCGTCAATTTCGGGTGTTGGTGGCCGTCTGAACCTGTCCTCCTCGTCCCTCTTCCGCCGACTGCTCTTATGACCGTTTCTCGAGCGACCATAGTCGTCTTGATCAACAGCACCAGTCTTCCTGCGCCTCCTCTCCTCTACCGATCGAGACCGAGACCGAGATCGATATCTCTCCTTCCTGCTCCTCCCTCTCTCCACATCCTCCTCGGGGCTTCGACTGCGCTTCCGGCTAGACTGGGCTGGCTTTTCGGTCCTCGCCTTGCTCCCCAAGCCTTCCAAGAGAGCCATGGTGTCGTCGATCGCATCAGTCTCTAGCTTCGTACTTTCGTTCACCGGAGCTCCTTCTGCCTCATCTTGCCAAGGTGCCTGTATGTCGGGCATCGCAAGCCCTTTAAAGACATTGGTCCTCTCCTCCAGCTTGCGCGACCCATTGCCCATCTGCTCTCCCCCGTTCTTCAGACTCTTATATTTTGGGTGCATGGTCCGCACCAGGCGATCCACGCTCTCGATTAGACTCTGTGGGAATTCCGCCCCCATGGCCTCCAGCTTCGTCCGGAACTCCTCGAGCTTGAGAGACGGCGCATGCTGCGAGATGATAAATTCTGCCAGGGTTTTGTCGCTGATCCCCAGATGGTTCTGAAGTTCTGATGTTACCTTGGACACCAGGGAGAGAATTTCGAGAGACTCGAGGTCGTCCATGGTTACAGTGCTGCGTCTTGCGACGGCGGTTGAGGTTCGAGTTCGTGGTGGTCGCAGTCAAGGCTGGAACCTTGGTTCATAATATTTGAAGGTTGACGCTAGTTATCTTCTCCCCGTAAATAACCCGATAGGGGCCACCTGCCTGTAAGTAGCTCGACAACTCGACAACTCGACAAGTCAGCAAGTCAACAATTCAACAATCACCGTTTCCTCGCGAGTAAAGTTGACTTGTAGACTACTCGTTTGCAGATCGAAAGACTCTGGATAGCCCTGTGCGACGAAGCTGATAGAATCTGATACCATCACTCATTTTTTCCATTTCCATTCATGGGTATCATTACATTTTGACATCGGGCTATCTATCTATCCACTTTGGCGACTGGTTCCCAAGGGATATTTTACCCGTCCTTTTAATAAAATCAACTCCTCCCAATCGCCCCCCAAAAATAACAAGGACCAAGGACCAGATCCTTTACAACAGAAGCACAATCAGCCCAGCTGCCCCAGCCAACACCAGAAACGAGAGGCGACTGGCCATGGTGGCCGTAGCATCTCCCGTGAAGGCTGGTCTCCGGGGCGACGTCGCGTTTGGCGCGCTTGACGCGGTTGGATACGATGTGTTGGAAGGCTGGTGCGTCGAGAAATAGGTTGGGATGCCTGGTGTCACGACTGGAATCGTGGGAGCGGCTGTGGTGAAGACCGGGAGGGTCTCTAGACAGGAGCAAGGTGCTGTTTCTGTTTCTGTTTCGGTGACGGTGATGATTGACTGAGTGAGATATCCCGGTGTCAGCAATCACGTCTATTCAGAGTTTACATGTACAGTGGATCGGGATCTCAGCTTACGTTTGGTGCGGGCACAGATGGGTTGGGTGCGGGCACAGAAGGCATCGGTACAGCAGCATACGAGGTAGGCTGCTCGCTGCTCGGTGTCGTCTCTTGGGTCGGGTACGGAGGTGCTTCCTCGGTTGTGTGTTTCGGCTGCGGCGCCTCGCTGGGGCAGGGCCAGACCTTTGTCTTCGTGTGAGGTTTTTCGGCCTTGGTTGTACAGTCGCTGTCGCCGTCGCCATTCGAGGGATAGAAATCCCAAGTACGTTTTTTGAGAGACGATTCATTTTCTGTGCAATCCTCCCAACTCCCCTGGTTTCCGCCGCCCCATGTAGCCAGGACAGAGGAGAAGAGCACCGACGATGTAAGGAGCAGATTGTAACGCATGTTCGGCTTGTGTAGGTGGTCGAGACTGCGATAGTAGATTTGGGCGGAATGTATAAAATACGGAAATTCTCAAGAGCGAAGAGGCTGGAAAGCGAATGTTTTAAGAGCAGATAGAAAGAGTGTAAACACCTTGAGTGCGGTGAGGAGAGAAAGAGAAATTCGAGTGACCATTGCTCTGAATATATTACATTGTCTTCGATTGATTTGAAACCAAGTGGGCTGTAAAAGACCATGCCGGAAAAATTAGATTCATCGCGACGTACCAAAAACATGATACAGGCGAACTCCTCGCTTAGTTTGACGGCAGTCCAAAGGCTGGAGCGAGGCCAGAGAGCATCCGGGTACGGAACATAAGACGAGTGAGCCGCTACGCGACGATCGAGGTTTGAAGCGCAAATCCAAACGAGGATACACCTAGTGATCAATCTGTACCATGGGCTACTCGTATTCCAGAGGTTACAGACCATGCAGCGTTCTTTGGCATTGCTGATCACGATCCGAATCCATTAATCTGCAAATATGCAGCGAATGCCATTGAGGCTACCGTTTCGAACAGAACGAAAAGTCTCCACGCAAATAAATCACGTTTTATAGGTTACATCTGAGAGATCTCACTGAAAAAGGGTGTCGATTAAAAGACAAGATTCGAAAATATTGACAACCTCAACTCAAGATGGTTCCTGCCTCTTCATAGCCATATCGAGATGACCGAGATGACGTGCGACCTTCTGTCAACCAAGAATGAAGAATTACTCGTGGAGGTCACTTCTGGATTAGAATACCCGACATCAAACAACCAGAGCTCCGAGTTCATGACATTTGAAACCAAGTGCAAGGATAGCGCCCGAAGCTCGGATCGAGGTTGGGATGAAGAACAAGGAGGTTAAGCAATGAAGAAATTCGGACTCCAAGAACAAAGATTTGACAGCGGGCTTGATCGCATGCTTACTCGGGTCTCGTCTGATTTTGTACCTTCACTTATGAAGCGTTGATATCATATCATTTTGCGTGTTGGAAAAGTCTGGCTTGGCCCTTAGCCGTTGTTGGCTGCATCATAGACTCTCACTCAGGTTCAACATTGTACCTGAGCCCAAAAATACAGCCGCATCTTGCGGGAGCAAGAAAGACAACGGAGACGTGTAAAGCGACTGAATATGAGGTTGGGGTACAAATATGAAATTGAGATAGGGGCGACTTTGGCCCGAAGTTACATGCAGGTCTTGAAGTGCCAGAAAATAACAGTGACAAATCGGAATTTGGAAATTTGAAACTCTTTGCCTGTAAAATGACTTGATAATCTGCAAAGTTCCGATGCCAAATTGAAAGTTATCTCACTTTTTGATGGCAAAGTACTTTCCCGCAGCAAAGGTAATAACAGAACATCGCTTACCTCGGCCCTGCTGACATCCTACCAGCCACTGTGCTGGAAATTCTGTCTCTTGACTTGGAGAGAAGTCTGAACTAAACTTTATAGCTAGAAATTTGGGAATTGGCGTAAACTCGTCTTAAAAAAAAGAGACCTCCAGTGAAACATACAGGCGTAACAAGTTCGGACGCAGCCAAAACAATAAAGTGCAGGTATTCAGCTCTCCCTTATGCTTCATGTCCTTTGAGCGCGAGAAGCTATAGGTGTGATATATAGGGTAGCCAAGTGAGGCTCATTAAATGGGTATTAAGAGCCGGATGCTGTCAACGATGAATGACCAGATAAGGTAATATTGAACGACTTTACAGACCCTACGGGTCTGTTCCGTAAGGACCGCAAATGGATTTTGCCCGATCTGAAAAGTATTGGCAAAAGTCCTTCGGTTCTGTTAATCAGGGTTGTGAAATAGCACAAGGCAGCTTACTACCCGTTGTGAATTCGAACAAGCCAGAGGATAAATATGACTGGCCGGGATTGACTATGGAAGGTCCCCTTGCCGGCTTCTGCACAGATACCAGCTGTGTGCTAGGAAAGAAAAGAAAAATCATGGCAACGAATGGAAATCAAGCATAGTGAAAAGATAGCAAGAAACCTGAGAAATATGGACTCAAAAAACGCTGATCGATTTCGTACCTGTCCCCGAAACGTGCGACCGGCCAGAGGCCTCCTTCGCGACAACTTCTCGATATAACCGTGCTCAAACCAATATTTACAACCATCAAGTGACTACTTCGTCCGGATATGCTTCAACTTCTTATCACTCCATAGGAAATTGTTCGCATAGGCCTTAGGGGTAGTCTTCCGCGTGTTCGGCTCCTGCACAAAGTACTCGTATCCCTGCTTCTCCGCGAACCTGATCGCGTCCTCCCTGGATTTGAAGCTCATGTGTGTACCTTGCATGAAATCTGCCGATGATTGCCAGCCCATCAATGGGTTCTCCCAACGGTGCCCCTTTGGGAGGATATCCCAGTCCATGCGCCAGTGATGCCCATGCCAATCTCCTGACTGTGTTGCGGTCTTGGTCGGACGGTATATGCTGCGTCCACGTTAGAGATGTCTTCCAAGCCGTTGAAGTAACGTGAATTCAATACCGGACAGTTCTGGCTTGTAGTTCGATTGGTGCTCCAGAAAGAACGGCAGCTGGGAGGACATCTCCAGGCTCACTGCCATTCATGACTCGCTTTGGAACCGGGGAGAATGTTCTGAGGTGGAATTAGCCAGAGCCTCATCATATCTCGGGAGCAGCATACGACGAAGCTTGATCAACTGCGGCCGTGTATTCTGGCTGGTTGCGTCTAGTGACCTGTACCTCGGTGGTGGTCCCTTCTGTCTGGGTGAGGGGCGTTCCCAATGCTGTGCTCTCGAATCGTACGGCGCCCGGGGTGGCATTTCGAATGGAGGGTACGCCTGTTCTAAGCAGTCGCCCTGCAATTGAGGGTCGTAGTAGCGACATTGTGTATCCTAGGAGGTGGTGTATCTGCACTGACTTGAGGTTGTCGTCTCCTCGGTCGGAGGTTGAATGCTTATGTAAGTAACTAGCGTAGGAGCTTTCGGGCAACAGAGAGGCTCAGGATTGTGTGTAGACCCTCACGATATATTGAACCTGACAACCACATTCCCCCAGCCTTTCAAAGCCGGTCGCTGCAGTCTTCAACATGAGTTACATTACGAGAAGAGCTTTGTCGACTCTAATCCCTCCCAAGGCGAGTTGCCACTCTCCAGCCTGCCAACAGAAGAGAGCAAATGCTAATTGTCAAATTGCAGGTGGCCTCTCCTGCCGTGAGCTCATCCCATCCTCCCTCCCGAAGGCCCGCTCAATTGAGTCCCCCGTCGAACCACGAACGGAAAAGAACCAGATCGTACCAGACCAAAGGGGTGGATGTTTGCTGATACAATGTAGGGGCTGGGTGCCGCTCAGGATGCCGCACGCATGCAACGAGTAGTCAGCTTCTACGAGAAGCTCCCTCGTGGTGCTGCTCCGGAAGTCCAGCCTAAGGGTCTCCTCGGCCGATACCAAGCCAAGCATTTCGGAAAGAACCCAACTGGCCGTCGTGAGTCGGGCCCGGAAATCTAGAGTCCAGAGGATAGAGCGCTAAATTGGATACAGCTATCATTCATGCCCTTGTCTTCTTGGTTGGCGTCGGATACGCCCAGAACTACTACTTCCATCTCAGTATATTCATTCAGTCTAATCTTGGACCAAACGTCTGCTAATCGAGTTCCTAGGACACCACAAGAACAACGCTCATTAGAGGACTTGGTCGAGGAGGTGTGGAGGGATGGATAGAGACTTGTTAGACTACGAAGGATGTAAATAAGCACGGCAATACCAAGTCAACTCTCGGAGCCGAACCTTGTCAAAGCTTCCTCCTGTGTGACCTAAACTTGCCTGGGCCGAATATGGAGTATCATGTGTAGGAAAGCTCTCTTTAATGCGTCAGTCATAACTTTCGAGGTAGCCAAGTCCATGCCTGTCTTATGCACTAACAGGATATTCCACACGGAGCACGCTATTGGTCAATCGAAGCTGTTAATATGAAGGGTGAGTTGAAACAGTATCAGTATAGAAACAAGGAACCGATCCTATAACAATAGTATTCCCCTGTTGATAGATCCAACCTTTCCGACCACCAGGTAAGCGTTAACACGCCTCAGCCTTAGACATTATAGCTGACTGACATTGCTTGATTTTCATCCTTGGGACGGAGTTGTAGCTGGTCTATCTACGAAACTAGCATCGCTTGGCTTTTTCTATGTAGATAGTGCTTGCGACTTGGAATGCTTCTACTTAAGTGGCTTTGAGCTTGATTAGAGGTGTTGCTAGACAAGAGGCCTTAGAACATGTCTGTCTTTCGGATGTACAAGTGATATGTAGCTATGCCTATGAACAAAGAGCATTGCCGATCTAGCTTTAGATAACTGTTCTTTTAAAACACCTTTGAAAACCATAGTCTAGCCAAACTATAGATCAGAAGTTTACTGCAGTCAGGATATATAGAAAAAGTATCCGTTTGAGAAACCCGTTGCAAACCCGCAGTAGGGCAGATGGATATGTGGATGGGAACCTACCTACCTTTGTTCTGTCAAGCCTTGAGCTAGCTAAGCTGGGAGGGGAGCCGTACTTGGGAACTTGGAAACTTGGGAGCTTGGGAATTTAGGAACTCGGGAATTTGGGAACTTGGGAACTTGGGAGCTTGGGAAAGGTGAAGTCCGCTCAGCCTCACTAGCGTGCCTTGGCGTCTTTGAAAATCGACCTCCCCCGTCCGTCACCAACTCCATCACCACAGCCCCGACATCCACGAACAAGCACTACCCGCGAAGTCTCTCGAATCCTCTCTCCTGTTGAAGGAGCCACCCAAATTACTTCTCGAATAGCGTCCAAAACCGCGACTTCTTCAGCCCGTCGTCATCTAATCCGATCTACATCAACACCGAAACTCAAGTCTCGCGCGCTCCGATCCAAGTCAACACGGATCAACGCATGCGCTACTCGACACACGCAAACAACTTTGGAGACGTATGATGGCAACTGAAGCCACCACCGAAATTATTGCGACGCCGCCGATAGTACCCGATGATGAGCTGGTGCGTTCACAAAGAAGTATTGCGTCTCGGCCTAGCACACTGACTTGCGCATAGAACACTGTCGATACCTCCTCGAGCCAAGATGCCCCTCCTGAGCAACCCGTGGTAAACGGAACTGTCGGGAAACTCAAGCAGAATGCAGAGTGTGCGGAGCCAAGTACCAACTCAGCGGACGTGAGCGTGAGTGGAGGATCAGATACGGAGGCTTCGAAAACAGAGATCTCGAAATCCCCTGGCGATGATAAGGGCCACGTACGCACAGCATCTTCGGTCAAGAAAGTAGCTGCTTTCAAGCCTGTGTCGGTGAACAAGACCTTTCTCGCGGCAAAGGGATCGGCCACAACGGCGCCTTCGAAGCTTGGGGATAAAGCTGCTGCAGGAGCATCACCGACTCAGACACCGGCTTCTGCCAGCAGCGCTCTGAGACCTCGGCTGGTTGCAAAGAGTGGAAGTGGTCTTCGCGACTCGGCGCCTCGGAACACAACAGCGGCAAACGGAGCAAAGGCTGGCGCAGCACCGGATCCCAGTGCCGTGTGGAATAAGAACAGACGTACGTCCCAGGATTCAGATTCCGGGGAACCGAAGCTAACATATCAACAGCCGCACCACCTGTAGAACCGAAGCGATTCACCGACGAAGAGCTGAAGCAGCGTTATGGGATTCATCTAGCTACCAGACTACAGTCAGACGAGCCGGGCAGGCAGGCGAACTGGGCAGACATCGAGGACGATGATGATGATTGGGCTCCAGAGACGATCGAGTGGACCGATGGCACAAAGATCACTCTTTCTCAAGCCGAGGACCCACCCGCTCCAGTTCCTGAACCTGCGCCTGCGCCTGCGCCTGCGCCAGCACCCGCGCCGAAGGAAATTTTCGTAGCAAAGCCAAAATCACCACAGCCAGCCCAAGCTTCAGCTCCGCCGCCTGTCAAGCCCAGTGGATTTGGCTCCGGTCGAGCTGGACTGGTGCTCAAGGGATCCAGTGAGAAGCCTACTCTGGTCGCAAAGCCTCCTGGACCTCCAACGCCTGTAAAATCTCCATGGGCTTCCTTACCACCCGTGGACAAGGTGGCACCCGTTTCCATCGAGCCCCAGCAACAGCAGCACACCAATAGCCGTTTCAATCAGAGAGACCCCCATGGTTTTAATGGGATGCCGCCTCCACCTGCGAAGGAGATTGCTGCAGACGATTTCAGCCGGTCGTGGAGAGAGGGATCCAATACTAGTCGTGAATTATACAATTCACAGTCTGGTCGGTATGAGCCTGTCAACGACAACCGCCGAGTATCTATGCGCAATGACGCCCGTAACGATTCCCGCGCTCATCAACCTGCTTTGCTTCAGCGACCTCCTCTCCACGATGGCGCCCCAGAACCGTCTGCTGCCTTTCAAACCCACAGAGCAAGTGGCCACGAAGGCTATGGCCGTCGCCGAACTTCTTCCAATCTCAGTGGTGGTAGCGGGAACCTCGTTAGGCGCATGAGCAGGGGTCACGAAATGCCACCGCCCCATGAGTTGTTGAACGTTCGCAGAGGCTCGCTAGCGGCTGTGAGCGACACTCCTTCGTCCCCACGAAATTTCTCACCTTCTGGTCAACACCCCAACCAACGTGGCTACTCAGCTCACCCGCAAGGTCAACACTGGCAGTCCTCGCAACAAGGTCAGCAATCGCAATCGCGCGCTCCACCTGCTGCGAGCAATCCTTCTTCAAACTCAACAAACCTCAACACAGTACCAGCGATCTCAGCGGTATCCGACGCCCCAGTTCCAACACCCGCTGTCCCCTACGAAGATCCGATCGAGGAGCAGAAGAAGATTATGCGTGCAACCCGTGAACTTGCAATCAAGAGAAGACAAGAGGAAGAGGCAAAAGAAGAAGCTGCTCGCAAGGAGCGAATCCGAATTAAGCTTGAGGCTATGGGTCCTCCACCGGAGTCAAAGAAGAAGAAAGAGGCGGCTAAAGAGGAAATGACTACTCCGAAGCAAATTCAAAGCCAAGAAGCTGCTGCTGCGCCCCCCGTGCAGTCTCAAGAGCAAGCTTCGGCAGCAACTCAAAATGATGCAAAGGTGAAGCCAAGTTCCGACTCGGCCCAGAAACATGCTGTTGTCTCCCCTGTCGAAGAAAAATCCGTGGGCACACATACTTCCAATCAAGATATGCGCTCAAATGGAGCTTCTCAAGGCCGACCTATGGCATCTCAAACCTCTCAAGATGGTCGACCATCGTCGTGGCAAAATAACACTGCTCCATCTGCAGATAGATACCAGTCTTGGAACGCAGCTCCTACTCCACAATCGTCCTCCATGAACGTCTGGGGCCCGCCTACAAACGATCGAACCCTCGGTAATGGTACATTCAACTCAGAATTGAGTAGAGTACCAGACATTCACCAGTCATCGCATCCAGGCCCGATCGGACCACCAAATCGTGGCAATGCTCAATTCCAGCAAGGACGTGGCCGGGACCCCTATGGATCAAGACCGGCTCCAATTGGGCCCCCAAACCGATACCAGGGACAACTCTCTCGGCAAGATCTGGAGAAGAAAGCCGCAGTAGCTCGATCGGGTTGGGGTTCCTTACCACAAGTTCTCCAGCACAATGAAGGCGTCGAGGCCAAGCAACATGATCTAGAGCGTGCTCAGAAGCTCAAACAAGTTGAGCAAGGTATTCTTTCCGAACCTGTAGGTCCTGCGATCCAGGAGACCTGGCGCCAAGTGGCTATCAATGAGGATGGCAGTAGGGGCAAGATCCAAACCAACATCACCAGCGTCCATGACCCACAGGCATGGAAGTCGCAAGAGGAGAGCACAACCCGAGGAGGCATGTTTGAGGACCAGGAGGCTGCTCGGCGACAACACATCGATCATGTTGGCAATCAATCACGTTTCAATGATGGCAGTCAACCGCCCTTCAACGACGCGTGGAGAACACAGGCGAATGCGAATGCTTCTCCTGCTGTTCGGGGCTCCCGTTTCTTCCCAAACAACCGTGACATCCGCTTAGAGGAACAATATGCTCTATATGACATACCAAGTTCCCCATCCCCACCACCTCCTACCATGGCCGGACACCCTGCTTACGATGGCGATATCGCACATCCTCACGTCTCCTTGCCACGCCCTGCGCCTGTGGTCAAGTTGCCCCCCGCTCCTGTCATGGCACCCATTGGTCCTCCACCCAAGCCAGTCTCTTTCGCCCAAGTAGTACAAGCACCTGCAGTTCCAGCCATCAGCCACAATGCCGGCTATCAATCCCGCCAAAATGCGCATGCATATCAAGATATTCGTCGACAGGAGCAGCCTACTGCAGGAGGATGGCAAGACAGAATCAGCAACTTGCTTGGACGTAAGAACTCTCCTCCAAAGTCACACGCTCTGGCTGTCGATTCTTCGAGCAAGAATGCCCTTGAGCTTCCGAAACAACAGGTCGGTGCTACTGTCTCGTTGCCGTCGGTAGGTTTGGGAGACTTAGCCTTTGATAACGGCGCGGTCGAATCTAAGCCAGCTGCCGAAGAATGTTTCGAGGAGCAGGAGATGGGGTCTTTACCTATCGTCAAAGTCCCACATCTTGCCCCCCCCTCGGCTTGGAACCTTGCCCCGGCACCATCGAAATCCTTCCCTCGGAAGTTTCAGGTCTCCCAAGTTCTCACTGCTGAACCGATCCACTTTGGCCAGCAAATTGTGAACAACATTGCAACGCTCGTGATCAAGCTCCCAGGACAAGATGATCCAAAGAGTGTCACCATTGCAGTAGCCCCTCGCCAAAGAAGTAACCCGAGAAGAGGCGCAAACTCACGAGGTCGCGGAGCACAGTCTTCATCCTCTCACCCAAGAGGTCGAGGCGGACGGGACGCTTCGAGTGGGTACCCATCTACAAATCCTGACAACGCATCAGTTGCCTCGAACACGAATTCTGGCCGTGGTGTACGAGGAAGCAGAGCTTATGGCACTAGCTGGGCCCGCAACTCCACACCAGCAGTTCACACCTGACCGGGTTGGTATTTGGAGAAGGCAAAGCTTTTTCTCATGGGAGGAACACCTTTGCCCCTACTGTAATTGTCTACTTTCTCTTCTACTCGCAAAACACTTTCACCTTACGCCACTTGTAACTGATTCTCCACGAGCGGATGTTTATCGCGTTGGCGGCTGTTGCAATTTGCACGGCGTGTATTATTGCCTTTGGTGTCTTGAGCCACAGAGCTCTCTGGTGTGGCATGAGGCACATTTGATGATACAGGGTGATGAACTTGGTCACTTTGATTTGGACCACGCGAGATCAGAGGATTGATTGCGCTAGGTCGAGAGACAGATATTCCCGACAGACTTTGCTCTGGCTGCACACCACGCCATCGAGGCGATATGCCGTCCACGATCATGAGCTAGTAAATGAAAACACCTCTAAAACCTCTGCTCTCCTCGTGAATGTGTAACGTGACAGTCTATATGTTTCCTTATCTCCGGAGCATTCCGCAGACGTATGTTTACTCCCGTACTACATCCTCGCGACGATGCAGGTACAAATAAATAAGGTATAGATCCTATGCTCCTCCTCCTTCCCAAAGAACCTATATGTATCCCGAACCTCCTCCAAAACCCAACAACAACAACAACAACAACAACTGCACACCATATCCATCATCCATCATCCATCATCCCATTGACTCCCCTCTCTCCTCTCCACCTTCAAACCCTTTTCCGGATCACATACACTCCTCTATTCCCCTATTCAGCATCGTCGTCATCGTCGTCATCATCACCCACGAGAATCTTCGCATTTAGTCAATAAGTAAGTAAGTAAGTAGGTGTGTCGAAAGCGCAGGTCTTTTTTGTAAAAAAAAAAAAAAAAAAAAAAAAAAAAAAAAGGAAACTGCCGTTTGGATAAGGAGGGTAAGCAAGCTTGAAAAGAAAGAAAGAAAGAAAGAAAAGAAAGGCTTGTTTACTTCCTTTCCTGTCTTTGAAATCTCTCATGACACATTCTGGGAGAAGATTTCGTGTTAGCTTTTGATTGTAAGGCGGGAGTCGTTCGGATATAAAGAAAGAATATATATATATATATGTATATATATATAAATCCCAACTCTGGCATGGCATTGAAGGAAGTCGTCACACGCTCCAGAATAACTACCTAACTAGCGTCGCGAACGATCGGCTCGGGCAAACGAGCTGGAAGGGCTCCCTCCACCAGTGCCAGTACACGCATCCTTGTCTTGGCAACGTCCTGATACTCTACAAGATAGAGAAGTTATTGGAACTCCCCGAGGCCTTGCTTCAGTCCTTGCTTGTCGAGTCCACCTTCAACGGCGAGCGACGACCTTGCCCCGTTGTTGACAGCATCCCGCACCGCTCTCGCTAACCTGATGATCGACTCTTCTAAATCACTCTCCTCCTCCCAAGAAAAGCAGAGCCGGAGAGAGTGCGCAAATGGGACACTCGCGTCGTCGGAAACCTCGAAGATGTGACCAGGCGCAACGATCAGGCGGTGCTCTCGCTTCGCAATCTCGGCCACGCGCTCGGCATGTGCAGTCTCTGGCAATTCAAGCCAGATGAAATATCCTCCGAAGACAGCCCGCCCTTCACAACTGACTTCTCCAAGTTGGATCCCTAGCGGAATGAGGTGTTTCTGGATGGCCAGAACCATGATCTCGTATCGCCTCTTGTAGGCTGGGTGGAGCACTTTCTCGATATGCGTTTGCAGCTCTCCGTTTTTCAGGAGCTCCGTCACTGGGTGATCGGGAGGTTAGCAAACGTTCGTGTTTGAATGCCTCTGGAATACCCTCAGAAAGAAAGAGTGGACTCAGGAGATAATGTGGAAAAAAGGGGAAAGGGCTGCTGCCCGATCGTCCTTACTCATGGTTGCAGCCAGCTGACTAGGTGCTCCGCCAGAGCGAGAAGATCCGCATTGAGAGAGACCGTAGGTAAATTTGGGAGTAGCTTCGGCCCAGCCCGTCCTGACACCTGGACCGGCAATTTTCGAGAATGATCCGTTGGACATGGCGTTCCCGAAACTATCGGGCGGAGGGACTGGTTCGAGTGTTCTGTCGATATCGACGAGCCTGGGAAGAAGTGCTCTGGTCATTGGGTCGCTTGAGGTCGATGGTGAGGTTGGAAATTGGAGAAAGTCGTAGACGTCGTCAGTTACGACGAGGGCGTCGTATTTACGAGCTAGTTTGACGAGTGCCTCCCGGGTTGATAGAGACATGGTCTTTCCGGAGGGATTTGAGAACGTTGGTACGCAGTAGATGATGTTGCTATAGATCTTGGACCAAGGCGTAGAGCGTTTCAGTGCCTGCCATAATGTTAGCTACTGATGGTGCTTTAACGGTGCTGTGATCACACAGCACAAAAACATAGCCAACTTACTTTCGAGCTCCCGCCCTCCCTCTCAGTCTTCTCCATCTCCCTCTCCAGAGCGACCAGATCAATACCCCCCTCCCCCTCCTCCACAGCCCTCATAACCAAGCCCGCATCCGAAAAAATCCTACACGCCAAAAAGTAACACGGCGCCACCATCCACACCTTCGTCTTCAGCGGGTCGCTATACACCTGCAACACGCACGCCAGATTCTGGCTTGCTCCTCCCGTGATACAGATGCGATCCGCGTCCGACTCGCCGCCGCCATAAAAGTCGCCGAGCCATTTGGAAATCTCCTCTCGAAGGGGTTGAAAGCCTGGATCGGGACCGTAGAGGAGGCCGGGGACGGAGATGGATGGATCGGAGAGGGCGGACTGAGATGCGCGTAGGAGAGCGGAAGTGGGCAAGAGGGATGGGTTGGGCCAACCGCGTAATAGGTTTATGGGCTTCTCTGTGCTGCTTGCGGCTGTCATTTTATAGATGGGTGTATATGAGGATATATATATGTGTGTGTGGTGTAGAGAGAGGAAGAGAATAGGCTCTGGCGAAAAGAGAGACCGGAGGAGTGGGAAGTCTCTTTGGGAGCATTGGGTTTGGGGTTGAAAATTGGCTTGGGCTCAAGTTTGATGGGTCTCGGTGAGAGGTGGGAAATGGGATAGAACGTGACCCTACCAGGTATATCTATCTATCATCGAGGTGATCCGCGAGCCACAAGGCAAGAGGAATTCGCTTTGTAAAATATCTATTTCATCCGATCATCATCATCATCACCCATCCTACTTCTTCGGGTCATTCAGACAGAATAGATCCCCCGCAAACATCCCTACTACCTCCTTCACACTGTCCTCATCACACCCTCCAATCTCTCTCCGGAAAACACTGCTGTAATTCTCAGCCCGCGCCGCAATCACATCGACATCAGCTATGGTGCCATCCCAAGCTACTATAGGCATCGTCGAGAGTTTGGGCAAGTCACCGCCAGACGGTAAGATGTTCAGGAGAGAAGTCTGGATGAGCAACGAATCCCTCTCCTTCTGTTTAAGCGATAGATATTCGCTGGGGTCAGCACCTAGCTCCTCCGACATTTCTGCTTCTGCCTCCACCTCTTCCTTGAATTCTTCGGGGGCCTGATATAGATCTTGGTGAAGTGTTGCCAGCACGTAATCGTTCCCGAAAGTCGGGTAGATTGTCCAGTATCCGCGGTTCCGGACAAGCCTTAAGACGTGCTCCAGCCATGATGGGTAGGTTTTACTCACAATCTTCTCGTTCAGAGTAGTGGGCGTAGGGAGAGTGTGCTGGGACGATAGAGATTGGGAGACGAAGTCGTGGAGCTCGATCCACTTATCACCAAAATACAACTCGGCATTACTGTTTGGCGCCTCCCAAAGGAAATGTGTAGCGCCTGCGGCAACGTTGTCTTCATCTTCTGAGGCATTTGCGAGAGGGGCGGTAAATGGAGTCGAGTCATTCAAGTACACAGATGGCAAATCCAGACTTATGCCAAGGAGATTCTGACGAAGATCTTCGCTACTTGCAGAGTATACGTATTCCAGCATCGTGTATTTCAAGTAATGGAAGAACAGGGGCGAGAGTTCCACATTTGGAGAAAGAACCAGAACGTGATTATCGAGTGGGTTTGCAGGCCAGAAAGACTCGAGAAATCGTATGGAATTCTCTTCAGCAGTGAGTCCGTGCTGCGGGATTCGGTGATGGAGAGTAAGGAGGTTCCCGGTGTTATGGCTAGAAACTGGCGGCCAGTGAAAGCCTTCGAGGAACTGCCTTGAAGATTCGTCGATGTCGTGAGGCAGCTCAATTGTCAGGCGAGGGAGCGCGGACGAGAAGAAATCTGCTTTTCTCAAGGAACGGAGTAATCGAATCAACGCGCCAGAGGCCGCAGGCTGGGCATGGACAATGATATCAATAGACACTTGGTTCCAGGCTTGTAGAATTTAGCAAAAAGTTCCCATGATCTATGGCTCAACCACCTACCGCGCAGAGACGAGCTGTCAAGCAGCGTGATCCACATCAAGTTCTTTTCGGCATTTTCGGGTAGCTCAATCACTGTCCTGCCGAGTGAGACTACGCGGTCGCCGAGGGACTTCAAAAACCACGATTCCTCCTCTCCAGACCCATCAAGGATTGTAGCCTGTGGATGGATGTACGCGTTGATGTGGTTGAAAGCAGCTACAGTACTGACTTCCATGCGAAAGTCGGAGCTTTGGACAGAGAAATCCGGGCGGGCATCTAGCTCATGTTAAAGCCATCTCACCAACACAAATGGTAACTAACATACCATGGAATATGATGTTGCATTCTTGGGAGATACCATTCACAGACTTGAGGATATCCATAGATATATCGTCCCTGCCCAGCAGCGCAAAATGTACGTAGTTTCTTCGCCTAATTGCCATCTCACAAGCTATAGGCAGGAGTATGGCTGCACTCTTCAAGCTAGCTGCCGCAAAAAGTACATTACTGTTGATCTGTTCATATCCCTTACTCCCCAAGATATCGGCTCCATGCAGCGTCGAGGCAAGGTTGTAAAATTTTATGGGACCATTGAAATCATGTAATGGAACATCCGTCGTATTACTCTGCCCTCCTTCGGACGCGGTGGCCTTGCTAACCGGTAATTCCTTCGAAGATGGCGCATATGGTCCAGCCGCATGCACATAACTTGGTCTTTTCCTTGGGTTCTCCAGATCCGTGGGCATATTCCTGAAGAAATAGTAGAGAGCAATCAGCGCAAGCACGCCCAAGACCATCCTTTTCATGCTTCTTCTCAGGGGCGTATTAGGTATGCGCCGATGCTGCCAGGCCAGGCCCAATTGACTCTTGCCTCCTGGTTTATGATCATCATCTCTCTTCCCCAGCTCGACATCGCCCGGGAACAGTCGCGGTACGAGAGGCATTGTGTGCGGGCTCCCACGCTCACCAAGAGCCTATGCTCACGGGTAAGCTGCCATACGAGGTGGCTTGTTGGATCGGGGGACGGCGACGAGGGGGGCTTCGTAGAGGACGGCAAATTCGAGGATGATGGCAGATTTCGAAGAGGACGGCAGATTTGGAGGAGTAGGTCAGACAAGTGAAGGCTACCAGCGATCGTCTCCGAATTTCTCAGGTTTCTCAGGTTTCTCGGGTTTCTCAAGTTTCTCAAGCCTCTCAGGTGTGCAGGTGAAATTGGCAGAGAGAAGCGCGGAGCACGAAGATAATCTAAGATAGTTCAAGCACAACTGTCATCAACCTCAAGCTACCGGAAATTTAATGATCCGCTCCATACTGGCCTAAAATGCCCGCACGGGGCGCTACTCAAGCGAAATACCCATAGCTAAAACACAACACAGAGGTCCCCTCTTGTTGACATATCTTGCGTTGTCCTCGCTTCGCATATGCTGAAAAGCTTCCTGCTAAATTCCCTGCTTCTATTTCGATTTTTCTGCACTGCCTTTTAAGCTTTTGTAGATCAATAGATTGTCTATTTCTGTTTCCTTATCTTATCCAACGGATTGCATTCCTTTCGCTAGGCCAGAGCTAGTGCCCTCGCACAACGCTCTACCTGTCACGGTTGACGTTTCAATGAATTCGAACCCCATCAAAGCTTCTTGATTCCAAACACTGGTTGGCGATTGAAAGCAGGCCATCTCAAAGAACCCCTTCCCCGATCTAGCCATTTCCTGCATTCTCGTCTCGCAGATCGCATCCTTTGTCAAGAACCTATAAGGTATCTGCACCGTTCCGAAATGCTCGGCTACACAACTCACCTCTTTGTTGTCGGCAAATCTGCAGATAGCAGCTTCTTTGAAGATGATTTTCTTCTGGAAATTTCCTCGCTATCTACAGTGGTCTGGTCGTGTCGATCAATAGCTTCTCCTGCGACATCTTTCTACGTTGCCTGCTATATCATCTCGATAGTGATGGAGGTAGGAATATGATCCTCACTTTAGATATCCCATATCATTCATCGGTTACAGCAAATATGATGGAGAGCACGATCGTTAGAGGAAACCAGAGGGGGGGTGGTCAGCGTGGCCATTCACGAGGAGGCAGGAGGAGATCAAAAACCGTGGCCACAAAAAGGGATCATGCCACGCTCTCTCCACAAGCACTGAATCTCCGACCCGCGCTCTTCCAGCATGCTGAAAATGTATGGGGCCATCCAACGAGCACAGCGGAGGCATTCCAATCGTTTGAAGCACTCCATCTTGAACGGACCTACCTTCTGGGCTCTCTGCAACAGCAGAACCAAGATGCCACGGCGTTGCTGAGAAAGATAGCACCTCTTCAGGAGAGGCCACTTGAAGACGAGCTTCCCTGTGTCCAGAGAAAAACCAGAAAGCAGATTGGGTGGTTGAAGTGCCGTCTAGACCAAACACAAAAACAAGAGCAGTCGATTTTGGCCCGGCTGGGTCAAATTTCATATGAGATCCAGGTATGTACATTGAGATAGCCGAGAACACGATATGTTGACACTCTTTACAGGCAAAAGAGAGATGGGTCCAGATTGAGCACGAGCGTCGGCAGCAGGAATTCTACCAACAACAGCAGTTCTTCAACTACCAGCAAGGAGTTCGTCATGGCATGCAGCAGATGCAGAGCATACGACTCAACCCAGCGCAGCAGGAGTTCCAACCACAAGGCTACTTCCCACCGCTCAACCAGATCCCGCAAATGGGTTGGCAAGGTTGGTACCAGCAAGCGCAGGGTCCCGATCATGGATGCGAGACTCTAGACGCCGCGACTGGACACTGCGCTGAGCTTGCAGCCGAGCGGGCCACCGAGTCTTCGGGAAGCGGAGATGTTTCTCCAAGGTGTGCTCGAGGAAGCGTAGCGGTGGAGAGCCCGGAGAAGCCAGTCTTGGCTCTGCGATCGGCATCGATACCGACATTCATCTCTCCTATGTCGCAGCTGGTGCATAAAAGACACAGTTTGTCGTCACTTCCTGTTCCTGGACCTTCGACGAATAAATGCCAGTTCACTGCTGATGGGCTGGCTGCGGCCGAGACGTCGGACGGAAAGCTGGATGGTGGTTATCTGGGATTTTATGTCAAGCCATGAGGAAGCATATCTGGGATGAATTGTAACGCGAGTAGACATGGTGAGATGATGTGCTTGCTGGAATTCAGGATTAGCTGCAATACAAGATGGGCCACTGCGAGAGTTAGCATTAGTTTGACGGCATTAATTTTGGTATCTCTGATTTGCATCTCTATTGAAACTCCCCGAACTCGCCATCATCAAAGCCCATATCCTCAATATTTCCAGGCTTTGGCACTTCGTGGCTTTGTCTATTCTGCGCTTTCATCTCCTGCGCGCTGGGCGGAGGTGGCAGAAGCGAACTCGTTGAACCTCCTCCTGGCGGCGGTGGCAACGAGAAACCTCCCAATCCTCCACTACTCGACTCTGCTTTTGGCGGATTTCTCCTCCCCACCCCTTTCCCCCCAATACTAACCGTAATGGTCTCTCCCTCTTTCAGACTAAAGTCCTTCTTCTCCGCCGGCTTCTCCTCCTTCACTGGCTTCTTTCCACCATGTTTGGCACTTTCTTCAAGACCCAGCGTCTTTCTCACCTCCTGCAGCGTAACACTAAAGTCAAACGCCTCGCTCCTCTCCTCAAACCCAATGCCCAACACCGCCTTCCGCCCGCCGTCCCCCTGCACCCTCACGGCAAAGAACCTGCTTGAGTCCAGCACCTGCTCTACCACACCGGGGGCCGTGTACGGCGCTGCGGCAAACAGCTGTCCGTTCTTGGGGTCTTCGAGCAGGATGTCTGTTTTGAGGGTTTCGCCGCCGGAGGGGGTGGGGATGGCGGTTTCGAGGACGCGGAGACGCGCCGAGAAGATCTGTCGCTTGTTGTTGTCGGCGGTCCAGCTCGCGGCGACGTAGCCCTTGGTGCTGGTGAGGGGCGGGATGTTGTAGACGTGGACGGTTTGGGCGATGAAGAGGATGCGCTGGATTGCGTCGGAGGGGAGGGGGCGGCCTGTCGCGGGGTCGGTGGTCTCCATTGTTGCTGCTGTTCCGTCCAAGGACTTCGGATTTGTTGTTGAGGTTGGGAGACGAACGATGAGGTGGCTTATGTGCAGTCGGGGGGCATTTTTCTGTTGTGGTTGAAGTTGAAGTTGAAGTTGAAGTTGAAGTTGAAGTTGAAGTTGTAGTTGTAGTTGTAGTTGTAGTTGTAGTTGTGGTTATGCCAGGAGTTGAGGTTGTCATTCCCCCTCTCCAACTACCGATAAGCCTTATCGCTATATCACGTGGTAGCCTGCCAATTGCAATAGACATGGACAGGCATTGGTTTTGGTTATGTTCTTGTTTCTTTGTCTGGAGGTTCTTTTGGTCTACTGTGACTTATTGACTTATTTGTGAAGCTATTCCCAATTTTCTTATTCTATCCGAGAGCAACCTACCGGTACTAACTAGCACGTTGTTGATTCCCGCCGCCATGTATTCTCCCGAGAACGCTTGTAAGTCAGCCTTATTTCAGCCTCACTCCTCGAATATTACGGAGCAGAGTAAACCTAGGTAGCCTCGCTCACACAACATTACAGCCGTCCCGCGACCCTTCGAAGGCAGCACAACTCCTCCACCACTTTACGGTCACCCACCAGCATTAAACAGAATGGCGAGTCTAGGCAATGTTCCGCAGTATGGCATAGCCAAGCCTTTCGAGTAAACAATCTCCCCCATCCTGAGTCCCGACACTCGACACTAACTCATAGCAGCATTGTAGAGACCTACAAGCGTCTACTGCACGAAGACCCCGATGTTACCATGCCAGTCGCCGCCATCGAAGCACTCATCGAGCTCCTGGTACAATCAAAAGCAGACACGGTCTTCGAGTTCCTCGATATAGTCAAAGTCCAGTCCGGCTACCTTAAGTCTCGGATACCCAATTCAATCTCCCTCTCCGCAGGTACAGACTTGTTCCAGCGCTATATGATAAGCTCCATGAAGCCCACGAGCACGGGGGACTTTGATACAGTAAGACAGCATCTGCTCAGCAACGGACGTCTCTTCGTATCCCGGGCAAAAGCTGCAAGAGACAGGATAGCTGCGTGTGGAAGGCATTTCGTTCGCGATGGCAGTGTTGTTTTGACCCATGGGGGGTCGCGAGTTGTCGGAACACTGCTGTCAAAGGCCGCGGAGGCTAGCAAGACCGGGGGAAATGTCAGATTCAAGGTCATCTACGTGATGAATGATGCCCGCAGCGCGGAAAGCAAAGCAGTTGTCTCTTCTTTGAGGGCCAAAGGAGTACCGGTTGCCACTATTAGTGAAGGAGCCGTCGGATACGCGATGGGAAAGGTCAACCTTGTTATTGTTGGTGCTGAGGGTGTTGTCGAAAACGGAGGTATCATCTCGAGGTTGGGCACATATCAAATTGCGCTCCTAGCAAAGGCAGCTGGAAAGCCATTCTATGTCGCTGCGGAAAGCCACAAATTCGTTCGACTGTATCCACTGGGTCAGTATGATCTCGGTATCGATCAGCAAGTCATCGAGTTTAAGACCGAAGACGTGAAGGATTTGTCTGAGGACGATAAGACATTTGCGGATCGGACACCAACGGATGAGTACTTCGGTAATATTGAAATGCCGAAGACGAATAAGTTATCCGATGCCGTTGATTTCACTGTGAGTCTCAAATTTGTTATCTCCTACAACAAATATCCTCCCGAAGTTAGGCAGATGCTCCTGACTTAAGAGAATCCTCATACAGTTCCTATGAGGCTGTGCTAACCTTCTACAGCCACCTGCTCTCGTTTCAGCGCTCATTACCGAGACAGGCGTGTTGACACCCAGTGCAGTCAGCGAAGAGCTCATAAGCATGTGGTACTGATCCAATAAAGCAAAACACTTCAAAGACGTTGCAAAGATCTCACAGTTCAACGTGGTCTCTCTCACCATCACATCAACTCAGCATTTGACCAATATTTGGTCAATGTACGACATCGGTGTTATGTCAGATACCCCGTTACAAGGGACGGAAAGCCCAGGAAACTATCGCCACTATTTCTACGGATATCACGTGGTAATTTGTGAATGTAGAACTGTTGCTTTGGGGGGAAAATCTGGCTCTGGGATAGATTCGGAGAGAATATCAGGTAGCTTCCAATTGTGAACCCAAGCTCGCCCGATCCATCCCTTTATTCGTGGAGTCTCTATCTAATGTACTCCATGCGCATTTCCAATGCTATTTTATCATTGACCCGGCGCTGGGGACTTTCAAACAATTTCATCAGTTGTACAGCAATCAACTCTGGCTAAGTCTTTCAATCCGCTCTAGCAGAAAAGCTGCTTCAAGGTGGCTTTTGCGACTAGCTTCCAGCATCGAGAACTTTGCCAGATAGTTATCATGCTCATTCTTTGTTCTCTAGCACGGCCTGTATACTTCCATCTCACAAAATAAAATGACTTCGTTATGAATTCGGCTTCGAAACCATGCTGGGTCCCATCAATCAGATCCAATATCGACATTTGCTAAGCAGGTGAAGAGCACAGACAAGTCTCTCCGTGGAACACAAACCCATAGTGCCGACCTCGATATCCCAAACGAACAATTGAATCAGTCTACTTCTCGGATTAGTTTTTTTTTTTTTTTTTTTCTCCGCTCGGCCACAGGTCCGAATTCAATGCCATCAAAACGGAGAAGACGATCTTGGGATCATTGAAAAGTAGGATTGTGACTGAGCCAGCCGGCTAAAGCTCAAAGCATAAAATCCTGGAGGGAAGGTTTGGCTCTATCTGAGACTTGAAGCAACCTACTGAAATGCTTATTCGGACGTCTGTGTGTCGGTCCTGTCCAGGATTAATGGTGGCTTTCGTGGATTTCGGATGCCTGGATCTCAACTATCTCCCATGGATCTTGGGACCAGTAACGTGACAAGTGTTTCTATTTGTCTGTCTAGCTCGCCTATAGGCTTGATGATATTAGCCCTGAATACTACATGGAAGGAAACATCCCCCGATCTCGTTAGTGGTGGCTGACAAGCCCGTTGTTGTGACATTGGATTGTATCATTGGACAGACTCCAGAGCTGATCTTTTTTTTTCCTGGAATTCCTGGGGACTCTTGGTGAGAGGTCTGAGCCTTTCGATCTCGGTAAGCGGATTGCGAGTTGATATGCTATGCAAAGAAAGTTCATAGAGAAAACGGGGGAATATTCTCTTTAAATGGCCCAGTTTCAGAATAAGTAGAGACTGGTACCGCTCTGCATTCCTGCCTCCTTTCTTCCAGCACAAACTTCCCTCTCACTTCTACTACGATGCCTCACTTGTACGAATCATCCCCCGAGCTTGCTCGAGTTAGTCTTGCTAGGTAGGCCCTCTAGTACATCCAAGGCTCACCTATCTGCAATGCAGCTCGAGCAGCTTGCGAACTGGAACACATCTACCAAGTCGATTCTCCAAATATCCGAATACTTACAAGACTGCGTTCGTGCCACCGACACTATGAAGACTGTTAGCAAGTCTGCTGAGTGATCAAACCTGATAGAGCCACTGGGGCGATCCGGATGCATCTACCGGTAGTCCTCAACGCAGCGCTAATATTTTAGTTTGCTAGGGCGGTGAATGATCCGGGAGAAGCTCGGTCGGTTCCTCGAGAGTCGAAAGCACCCTGGAGGATACCGGCTGCTTCAGAGACTTCCTGTGCAGTGGAGGAGCTCAATTTGAGGCCTTCATGCGAATGAGGTTCGCTCGCATGGTCAGGGTTTACGACTACGTTACAACACACAACGTTCTGCTTGAGGGCTTTGCCGAGTGCAGGAAAGTCGCTGCAGGACAAAGTCGTCGGAAATGGTGTGGGACAGGTCAACGAAAATGGTATGGATAAGGTCAACAATAATGGCGTGGAGATGGGCATTGCCTTTCGGAGCAGATGAAGTAGCGTTTAGTATCCGAAGAGTACAGGGGGCGGGGGGCGGGAAACCTCTCTTTGAAATACATTTCAATTTGATTTAGTAGATAGGCAACAAAATTAAAATTATCATTATTACGTACGAAGTAAAATCTCCAAAAAATTAAGTGTTAAATAATGGCTCGATATGTGTCATGCGGTCATCGAAAGAGCTTTTGAAACAGCCACATTCAGGGGCTTAAGCGAGAATCGTTGTAAACAAAAGCCCCCCTCTTTTTTTTTCCGCGCCACATTCGCATCAGAAAAGAAAGGCTTTCTAATTGTCCACTCCAAAAGAATTTTGAAGCATTTCTAGTATTGAACTAGTTAGTCGGGAGACACTTGAGCCTAAATATATCGAGCGGAATGGAAAAAGCTCACCGGCAAAGGGAAGCGAAGAAGCGAATAAACGCTTCTTCTCATCCGGTTATTCAGACGAGAACATTCGCAACGATCGGCGCATTTGTAGGCCCGATGTCAATCGTGGTCGTCGTCGTCGAGACACGCGCAGGCGCCGCACGTGCAAATCTCGCGCCCGTTAACGTGCCATCTCGCTTCTTCGCCTCGGCTTCCTGCTTCGGGCAGGTGTCGTTGAAGTCGAGCTTGCCTTGGCTGGGCATGTAGACGGGAATGTTTATGACTTGACCGGAATAGAGCACGTCGGGGTCGGCGATCTGCGGGTTGGCGGCGATTATGGCGGGCACGGTCTGCCGGTATTGGGCGGCAATCTTCTCGAAGGTGTCCCCGGGCTGGGTCAAGTAGGCGAAGGGCTCGGCGGCATCATGGGTTGGGACTTTAAGGAGCTGGCCGGGGTGGATATCCTTGGGATGCTTGATGGCTCTGTTCAGGTCCTCGATTGTCTTGAGGGGTACGTTGTACATGTTCGCAATCGTGACCATGGTTTCACCGCGCTCTACTGTGTGAGTTTGTGCTGGTACGTTGATTGGCTGTCCGATATCCAGCTTAGTGGGATAAGTGATCAGCGGATTAGCGGCGATCAGAGTGGCCAAGTCGGTGGCGAAGTATTCAGCAATCTTTTCGAAACTGTCGCCGGGCGCGGGGAACCACACTACGGCTACTGGAAGTTTCGTGTCCTGGTTGTAGACTGAGGGGATCGTCTCGTCCTTTGGGTCGAATGACAGGATGTGAAGTTCTTGGTCTCGTGCGCTCACGTAGCAATCGCAAGATCGGGCGACTTCTATGACGATACAGCCCTTACCTCCATTACATTTATTGACATAGTAGAAAGCTCCATGTCCTGGATCATAAAAGTCGATTCGATCATCACTCAAAGCTTTTTGGATTTGCCTTGGAATCGCCGAATTGATGTCTCGGGCCTGTCCAGTTTTCCCCGGTCCTTTCGGTGCCGCTGGATCGAAAAAGTTTCCATTGTGAAAATTGAAACCTCCTGCGACTTCCGGAGCACGATAAGAGTCGCCACGGTGGGAGTCTTGTGGGTCATGTGGTTTCCCGCTTCCCGGACGAGGTGGCTTGTGTTCATTCGTGCTTCGAGGGGGCCCAGTCGCTTGCGGGTGACTGAACTTACAAATGGAGCCCTTGGAAGATGCAAATCCTGAGGTCGTTGATCCAGAAGGAAGGTTAGTCTGTGTTTGGGGGATGCAATATGGTTCCGAAGAGGGCAACTCGGTACTGGGTCCTATGGAAACCGAAGTGGAAGACAGTCCCGAAGCGATCGAAGACTTGATCGAGGCTAAACTAGTGACCAGAGGCGGTGTTTCTGACAGAGCTGGCGAGGGTTTTATAGTTGGAATGCGCGAGGCAGTGCTGATCTCGCTAGGCAGTGCTGATACGTGGGTAGAAGTACTGCTCAGGGACCAAGTCAAGCTTGAAAGCTGGCTGCTTGTTCTGGTTATCTCGGCACTCTTCAAGGATGAGATGATGCTAGAAATTCGAGTTGGCAACTTTGTTTGCACAGCCTTTAGGGACGAGCTGCTGCTGGTTGGCAGCTTTGTTGGCACAGCCTTTAGGGACGAGACGATGCTAGAAACTCGAGCTGGCAGCTTTGTTCGCACAGCCTTTAGGGACGAGCTGCTGCTGGTTGGCAGCTCTGTTGGCACAAATTTTAGTGATGATTGGGATTTCAAAGAACTAACAATGCTCGAGAAGCCGGGGAACCTTTCGGATTGACTGAGCGATGCTGATGATGACAGGGCAACGCTAGAAGATGTGACTTGAGTAGAAGATGCGACCTGAGTAGAAGATGAGACTTGAGTCGACGAGAATATGCCAGGATTAACTGAAGACGGCGCTGGCAAATCCGTGGAAAGACCCAACAACGACGAAACGAAAGACAAGACCTTGCTGGTGGATAGAGGTGCAGGTAATGATGTTGGCGAACCGCTAGCGTCGATAAACATTATTGACTTCACGGTCGCACTTGGAGTTGCGCTCAGAGATTTTGTGATGCTCGCAGATTGCGATTCGGTGGAAGGTGCCTGTGTAGATTTGCTGCCATCTGTAGATGTGCTCTCAATGACAGATACCGTGAAAGAACTCGGAATCTCAGTCGTGATTTTCGGAAGAGACGTCTGGATCGAGTTGGTAGAGATGTCACTGGCTGCTCCGCCGCTTGACTGGGAGGAGGACGACGGCGCCGATGAAGAAGAGA